GGCGTGGTAGCATGTAGTATGTACTATTTTTTTTCTTCCCATATTCCTAGAACCTTTGACATTGGTTCATTGCCCCTCTCCCCTGCGCTTTCTAGACTGGGGGCCGGGGGGTGGTTCTTCACTGAGATGTTGCCAGGGATTTATAAAATCCCTTGGAAAGGTGTGTGAAAATTGTTTTTGGTATGTGCATATGAGCAGTTTTCTTGGGAGTGAATGAATTCATAGCTTTCATCAGATTCTCAAAGAAGTCCGTGATCATGCCTCCCTCCCACGCTTACTCTGGAATAACAGAATTAAGTAGAGTAAGTAGTATAATCATAAGTGGTATCTCAGTAGTCTGGGCAAATTAAGTATGGCTCATAGAGGTAGTTTAAAAAATTAAGATAAATTTGAGCCTTTTGATCGTTTACTGCTATCTTTATGTTCTGTAAAATCTTACAGCTTTATTCTCAAGTATAATTGTATTTGTTTTTAAAACAGAAGATGTTCTTTAGGAAAATACCTATGCAATATTAAAAACTTAGTATATATGTAAAATGAGATGATTTATATTACAGAAAGAATCTTTCTATAGAATGGGACTTAAGTTTTTCGTTATGAAGAGAAAAAAAGATTTAGTTGGAACTCTATAATAATGTGCTTTACTAGTGCCTCAGATATTTGAGTTAAAATAATTTGGTTTATAAGGAAACTTCTAGGAACATATCTTTTATATAAATCGAGTTAATACCAGGCACATTGTAGCTGTGTTTATCTACAGTTAACAATATTAGCATGGCGGCTATGGCCAGCACTGTGGTTCCCCCTGCCCCTTCTACTAGAGAAGTATTAGCTAACATCTCAGTCTGGGAGGTACCATAGCATGGTAATTATGAGTCATGTCTGAAGCCAGACTGCCTGGATTTCAGATCCTACTCTGTCACTTACTGTGTGACCTTGGGCAAGATACTTACCATTCCTTTGTCTCTGTTGCCACATCTATAATATTTGGATAATAATTATATCTGACTCACAGAGTGTTATGAGAAGTGTGTTAATATTGAAAAGTTCTTAGAACACTGCCCATTTCACTGTAAGCATTGTGAAAGTGTTAAATAAAAAATATGTAAAGTAGTTAGCAGAAGACTTATACTCATGAAAAGATAACTTACAATACGAGGTGGTGTAGGCTGTGCATGACAAGGTTAGGTTCCCTAAAGTTCTTCAGGGCAGAGAAATTCAGTGCAGTTTGTATGGGTGGTACGAGAAAGCTTACAAGTTCAAGGAGGAAGAGTATAGGTCATGAGTTGGTCTTGGGTAGATGAGATTCAGGTAGAGAATAAGGATTCCCCAGATTAGCGGGAAGTTTTATGAACAAGAATAATTGGAGGGAATGTATAGTGTAGACTATGTACGTTGGAGAGTAAGTAGAGAAATACTGGCAGCTGATCTAGGAAGACAGATGTGGACAAATGGTAGAGGTCCTTGGATACAAAGATAAGGCTTTGAGATTTTTATTTGTAGATTAGGGCTTTTTGACTTTTACAAAGGAGAACTTATGAATGATTTTGTTAAAAGTGCATAGCACAGTCCTTGGCGGAAGGTAAGCATTAAATAACTGTTAGCTAGTATTAACAATAGTAGTAGAAATGACTGTACAGTGTCTCACTGTGTGGATGGGCTATATTTGTGTATTTTTTAAATTGCCTGTTGATGGACCTTTAGGTTATTTCATTTTTTTAATATAATCAGTGTTGTGATGAACACTCTTTCCATAAAATTGTTTTATACACCCATGGTTTCTTTTTCTTTTTCTTTTTTTCCATTTTAAAAAAACTGAAGTATAGTCAGTTTACAATGTGTTAATTTCTGGTGTACAGCCTAATGTTTCAGTCATATACATATACATATATTCCTTTTCTTATTCTTTTTCATTATAGGTTTTATACCTTTTCCCCCTGGTAACCATAAGTTTGTTTTCTATGTCTGTGAGTCTGTTTTGTAAATAAGTTCATTTGTGTCCTTTTTGTTTGTTTGTTTGTTTGAAGATTCCACGTATAAGCAAGATCATATGGTATTCTTCTTTCTCTTTCGGGTTTACTTTACTTAGTATGACGATCTCCAGGTCCATCCATGTTTCTGCAAGTGACATTTAATTTTTTATGGCTGAGTGGTAATCCATTGTATAAATACATGACAACTTCTTTATCCAGTCATCTGTCAGTGGACATTTTAGTTGTTTCCATGTCTTGGCTATTGTAAATAGTGCTTCTGTGAACATTGGAGTGCATGTATCTTTTCGAGCTAGAGATCCCTCTAGATGCATGCCTGGGAGTGGGATTGCTGGATCATATGGTAAGTAGTTTTAGTTTTTTGAGGAATCGCCATACTATTTTCCACACTGGCTACACCAAACTACATTCTGACCAACAGTGTACATCCGTGGTTTCTTAGAAAAGACTTAACACTGTCTCTAAACTCAGCATGGGAAGGTGGCAGTAAGTTTCAGAGGGAATGGTAGGAAGGAAATGGTGGAGCATTAGCAGCTCCAATTCACTCCCCTCTGCTGAGACAAAACTCATGACAAAAAGGCTTTTATGATATTAGTTACCAGCAAGGATGTAGTTCAAGCATACTTACTGAAAATGATAGCTTATGAGAGAACCTAGCTATAGATATGATAAGGGTCTTTTCATTTTGTTTTTTAAATCATGGAGGCTTTGGGAATGTAATTTCGCATGTAGACCAGAGGACCAGAGTGTAAAGTGAGACCAAAAGTATTCATATTATGACATAATATGAGACTGGTGGTCCTAGAACTCCGCAGGAAATGTGAAAACAAGGCTTGGTAGGTTTTTTTTGTCAATATGGGATGACAGGGGAGGAAGAATAGTCAATGATGATATTTCTAAGATTCTAAACCTCAGTGACTTGGAGGATGTGATTAAAATACTGAAGTTGGAATGGAAAGCCAATTTTGGAGGGAAGATCAGTTTGGATACATTTTGAAAGTAGAGAAGAGGGCATTTAAGTTTACTTATCTATTAAATATTTGGATAGGATTCAGATTTTGAGTTTCCTTTTATAACACTGATATTGAAACAGTGTGAATGGGTGAGTTCAAATAAATTATGCAGCTGTTACAGCTAATAAGTGCAAAGCTGAGATCCAATCCAAAGTTCTGCTTCAGAGTTGATATTCGTAGTTCTTACGCTGTGAGTGGGAGATGGTCCTTTATTCACATTCATTGTCATGTATTTGGTCTTCTCATTTTCCAAATTATTTCTTTTGTTATTTTGCCGTTGAATTTATTTTATACCCTTTTCTATGTAACCTTTGTTCTGTTTAATAAGATATCTTGAGTATAGCTTGGTCCTTGAAGGAAGGCATTCCTGGATTTGCTCTCAGCTCTGCCATTGGTGTCTTTGTGGATTCCTTAGTTAATCACTCAATCTAGTGGCCTTTTCTTACTTTTGATTTTCCTCGGTGTGCATACAGCAGAAAGTCCTCCCTGAAATCTAGGTTCCTTCTCCTTCAGTAATAATTCACCATCCTAGCCTTTTATCTGTTTCTCTGTCTCTGCACTTTTTTCTATATAGATACACTTAAAATGTGTCTTTCTCTGCATAGCTTTGAACTTGGCTCTCTGTTCCTTTTTTAAACCTGTCAACTGACTGGATTCTGATTGTATTTCTTCTTCAATTACTCTTGATTCTGTTCTCTCTTTTCTATCTACGTGGACTTAGTTCAGTCCCTTTATGTTTTTCTTTCCAGCTTTAAAGTAGCCTCCTGTCTCCCAGGTCTAGTCCTGTCCTTTCTTCCTATCCCAGAGTCATTCTCTTAAAATATAGATCTTATACTTCCCCACTGCTTAAAGGCTTTCATGGATTCTCCGTTGTCAACAGTATTATTTCCTAACATTAATTCCTTTAGGTAGGTGTTTCTTTAGGAAAAAAGAAGTCAAATGAGCTTGGGAAATGCTTGTATAAATGCTGTTAGTCAGTCTTCCTTTTGGCAGAATTTTAGTGTGCTGATGTGCATTATGAATACACAAAGAGGATACAGAGCAATATGCAGCAGTCCCCAAATATACCTGACTATAGTATACATGAAACAAAAAAACTTGTCTAGTGTCTTGGAACAGGTTTTGATTAAGACCCAGAAGGTAAAGTCTATATGTCTAAATATGAAGTTCCAGGACTTTTTTGATTCATTCAGCCTTTGCCAATCTTTGTAGTCTTTATCTTTGGTAAACCAACCAACTTGGAGTTTCTTTCCCATGGGGTTTGGAGTTACGTCCTTCAGGCTTTAGTGGCTTCACCCATCTGTTAGAAAAAGCCCCTACTACTTCTAAAGGGGAGGTCATTACTTTCTTTCTGAAGTCTTCTGTGACTCATCCAGGCAGGCTTTACACTTCTTTTCTCAGCATTTTCCTTACAGTATACTTGGCAAGATCTTCTGTTTTAACACTTATCACGCGGTATTTTAATTCTCTTTATATTTTAATTTCTGCAGTGGACTGTAAGATATATAGTTTAAATCATTAGATTTAGTTTAGATATATTAGATATAGTTTAAGTAATTGAATTATAAAATAATTGCAAGAACGTTTCGAATAATAATAGTATTCATTCAATTAAATGAACTACCAGTAAACATTTCTTTTATCTCATCTTAGAAATCTCTTAGAGTTTCTGCAATGAGTAGGTAAGGTGCCATCAAATTAAATGCTAAGAAAACGTTCTATGAGGAAAAACTAAGAAAACATTTAATTACCAACTTTTTTGTACTTTCATAACTTGTGTTCATAAAACAAAATATCTTTTTCTTAGATTATAATATAAAGAGTGTTCTGTCTTCAGTGGAAATGGTGTTTGGTCACTAATAAAAACCTCAGTGATTACTTTTTCTCCCAGATAACTGGAGTTTCATATTGACATGATTCATTCATCTATAGTTTTTAAGATAAGAAATGTTATTTTATGTGAAACATTGTTTAATGTATATCTCTCTTTTCTTAGGCATCATTCTTAACAAAGAAGTTAAATATTGGTGGGAAAAGAGTAAACCTTGCTATATGGGTAAGTTAACTTTTTTAACTGTATGAGTGAAAGCCTGTATTTGTTCTTGGTACTCTAATAACTAATTGGCTCAAGGAATAAGAATTTGAATTTATGGATTAGTTAGTTAGTTAACTGAAGGTTAGATAAAACCTTTTTAAAAATAAACTTTTTTCCCTAAAATCTGGCAAAGAATTATATCTTGAATACAATTGTGTACATGCATAGTACTATCGTAAATTTTCAGCTAGGAAAGGGTCAACTCAGAGTGATTCCACATCGGAGAAGGAATACAGGAGTGGACAGCCTGCCTGGCTAACCACCCCACCCCACCCATTGCACCCCTCTCCCGTCCCCATGTTCCAATCCTCTAAGAGAGTGACTAGTGGAGGGCAGGGCAAGAATAATGCAGTAGGGTACCTGTCGGCAGGTGGAGAACCTAAATTTAGTGCAAGGCCTGTTCCTGGCTTATAATGACATTGTGGCCATCTGACTCTTTGGCAACTGAACTGGTTTTTCTAGTGAGGGTGGGAAGATTACTGAGGAGGAGGGGTTGGGAAGGGGAGAAGTAATCTTTGTATAACAATAAAACATTAAATTATAACGAGTTAAAAAGTGTTTTTGTAACGTGTTCTGTTTCTTTTAACAGTATTTTGGGATTATCTATAACTTTATACCTCACTTTTTAATTAATCAGAAGTTCACTGTAGTTACCATAACAGATATATGTTTTCTTCTGATCTAATAAGCATTTGTTGCTTTATTTAGGATACAGCAGGTCAAGAGAGATTCCATGCATTGGGTCCAATTTACTACAGAGATTCAAATGGAGCTATTTTAGTGTATGATATAACAGATGAAGATTCTTTTCAGAAGGTATCCTATTTACTTATGGGTAGATAATTTAATAGAACAACACTGAGTTTCCAAATCTCCATTAACATGCCTTTTTTACTAATGTGATGAGCTTTGGGTTTAAGGGTAAAGTTAGTTTGTGCATAAATAATGACCTCTCATGTTTTTTAATGGAGTATTTAATTCATGTTAACAATGTGAATATCATTTATTAATAGTTTATTACATGGCTTCTCAGATATTGGGGAAGGGAAATAATCTGAAGTAAAGCTTCAGAGAAATATAGAGGCTTTTAATCTCCCTGTTAAAGAAAAATTATGTACCGATTTTTGATTCTGTAAACACTGGGCACCTGAAAACTTGGTATGGCTGCATAGATGGGCTCCCTAATTGCGAAGAGGAAAAAGAAGAACTAAATCAAGTTCAAACTCTTTCTCCTCACTAAGTAGCTTGGAGAATATGCTATAAACTTTAAAAGGACAATCTAGGTTTATTTTAAAGCTCTTCCATTTTTTTTTATCCCTCTGTAAACATTCAGCACAAATTTAGGATTTTTAAAGTTGTTTGAGACCACAAATGAGTTACCATTAAACTTAACTCTGAATTTTCACCACAGTCAGGATGGTGACCACTTAACTTATTTGACCTTTCCTTTGAAAGGCCTTCTTGGAATAACTTTGTCAAGAGTATATAACAAAAGGGAGTAATTTCCAAGGCAGAAACTTTTCTTGCCTTGAGTTATGAGTTTGTGTTTGTTGAAATTACTTACCTTTTTAGTTTTCTATTTTTACTTATTTCCCAGTATTCAGCTGATGAAGCAGATATACAAATTAGCACTTGGATTATTAATGACATATGGAAAAACTTAGTTCAAGGTATAGAAAAATAGGTAGCTTTCAGATTTAATGATATTTTTAAGAATTATTTTGGGATGCTGTTTGTTATTCCTTCCTGCCTTCTGGCATAAGAAGAAATTGTTTAAGTATTTTATTGATTAAAAGAAGATGGACTTTTAGGTTGAAAAGTGACCAGTTATCTCTTGCTGCATAACAAACCCCTCAAAGTGTGGTGGCTTAAAACTATTCATTTTTTCTTACGGTTTTGTGGACAAGTCCTCTGTTCCGTGTGGTATCAGTGGAGTCACTCATTGAGCTGCGTGGGACTGAGGGTTTGGCTTGGGGGGAACTGGATCCAGGAATGCCTGGTTCTCTCCTGCATGGCCTCTCACTCTTTTTGGTATCTCATCTTCCAGTACTCTCCTTATTCCTTATTCTAGCCTAAGCTGCTTGTATGACAGCTGGATCCCAAGAGTGTGGCTGCCGGACCTTCTTAAGGCTTTAGCCTGGAATTGGCATAGCATTAGTTCTGCCACATTCTCCTGGTCAAAGCCAGTTACAAGGCTAGCCCAGAGTCAAAAGAGAGAGGAAACAGACTTGGCAAAGTCTATGACCATCTTTAACTCACCACAGAATATATGGGGGTAATGAATAGGGTGTCTGTGGAGGGGGATCTGATTGCAGACGAATAAGTATTTTTTTAAAAATATCTTAGATTTAGTGCATCGTGATACTGTATGTACAGGGAGCGTGGTAATACTAATTGGATTCTGGCATATTTCCCTCAAAGAGTTGAAGTTGTACATTTTATACCAGTACTGTCAAATTTTTCTTATGTGAAATCATCTAGGGGTGGAAGTTAAATGCTTCTCAGAAAATGTGACACATACATGTTAATGAAACAAAAAAATGGGGCTGTACTGAGAATACTGTACTGCTATTACAGAGATAAGGTGTTGGTATTGATTACCTTTGTTTTTATAAAGATTTTGAGTTTACTAAGGACGGTTCTTCTGCATTCTTTCTATGATTATTTTATTATTATTATTTTTTTAAATGGAGGTACCGGGGATTGAACCCAGGACCTTGTGCATGCTAAGCATGCGCTCTGCCACTGAGCTATACCCTCCCCAGTTCTTCCGCATTCTTGCAGAGGAGTGTGAAACTGTTACTTTGTGCATAGGAACATGTACACAGTAAATGCTTACCACACATATCTTAGTAATTTCTGTAATTTATGTGTGTATTTTTTCAGGAAGATACGTAAGTTCTCTGTGATTTGATTACATACACATTAAATTCCATTACAAAAAATGAGAGGAGGTATCCCATGCTTTTTCCTGTTTCATTGTCATCAACATGTTTAAAATCATGAGTTCAAAAGATTACTCAACTTCAGTTTACTCCAACTGTGCTGCTGTGCCCCATCCATAGTGAAGAATCCATTTGCTAGTGGTTCTCCATCCGGGGGTGACCATGTCTAAAGACATCTTTGATTGTCGCAGCTGGAGGGTGGTACTGCTATCTAGTGGACAGGAGGCCAGAGATGCTGCTAAGCATCACGATACACAGGAGGGACCCCCACAACAAAGAGTTACCTAAACCAAATCATCATTAGTGCCAAGGTTGAAAAAACCTGTCATATACCAAAGGATGAAATTTTATTTCAGTCTTTTTGGTAGCCATATCATTTCGTTTTTCTTTTACTTGTGTGACACACAAGCTCCTATGCCCTGTATTTTGGAACCAGTTGGTTATAAAATAATTTAATTAAGCTCATGTGTTTTTGAAGTCCAAGGTGACTCTGTACAGGCATCTGTTATCAGAGGCTAGAACTGACACACTTTGGCTCTGGTGTACAGCTTTTCTTGGATTTATGAAAATTTGTAATTTGAGGTGCTTTTGTTCATACTTACATGTAGATGTAGAGAGAAATCTTTCCATTGGATGGTTGTGTGTGTGATTTGCAATATAATCAGTCTGGCTATAAATGATCCTGCAGTGAATCGTTCCTAGTAACAAAATATGTGGGCTGTTAGACAAACTTCTGAGGCATTTTTACAATGTTGAGTTTTGGGGTGTTGTAATGGTAGTCATTGTAACTGGATTTGTTTTAATATTTACTCTTTTGTATACACAGGTAAAAAACTGGGTCAAAGAATTACGGAAAATGTTGGGAAATGAAATCTGTTTGTGTATAGTTGGTAAGCTTCATTACTTTTTAAAAATGTCTTTTTGTTTCCTTAACACTTTATTAAAGAATGGTAAATAAGTAATTTTCATTTTAAAGTTACATGAGAAAAGAAGAATGGTATTTTAGGATTTACTATTTTAGAATAATTTAGGATTTGAAGGTGATCCTCCAGGAGATTCAAACATCCGTCCTTCAAGGAATGCCTTGTGGAGCAAGTGGGAGGCACTGAGCGTGTAGGGCTTTAGTCCCCCTGGCCTTGCCTGAATTTGACCTTTAGGTTTTCGCCATGAGATTATTTTAGAAAAAAAGAGCTCAGCAACTGCTTTACAATGTGATTAAAATTAATGACTTAAGCTGGTGTTCTTGTTCTATACACTTAACTATAAGCATTTTTGAATTAAGGACAAATATGACTCCAAGGAAATAAGTAGATCATGATATAGTAGGGTCGAGGAGTAGTCTTAATTATTTTTTTCCATTTGTTTTAATTGAAGTTTAATTAGTTTACAGTGTTATATCTGGAGGAATATTCTTAATGGGTAAAATATACGGACTCCAGAACTCACTCTGAGACTTCTGGAATTTCTCTTTGCTTCCCTTTTTCTGTAGATTATTATTGCTATGATATAGCAGCTAATTATTGAGCAATAAAGTGTATCAGATACTGTGCTGTATACTCAGTAAACATTCTCTCTTGTACCCTTACAGCCCTGTGAGGGCTTTGTAGAGGAAGCTGAGCCCTGGAGAGACTTAATAACTTGCCCAGTGTCGTGCAGCTATCAGAGATGGGGTTCACACTGACGTCCTTCTGACTCTTGTGCTTCTCTTATTAATCTTTACGTTGAATAGCCTCAGGCTGTTTTCTCTCTTTTCCCTTCTTTGTAACTGATAAATGGCCTGGGAGAAACCAGGGTAGTTTTACTAAAGGACATAGAATGAAATGGCCAGCGTGGTCTAATTCTGCTTTTAGCCTTAAGAGTTATTTTATGTTTTTCTTACATTTTTTTCACCATTAGATTGGTTAACTTTACTGGTCCATATCAGGGCGCAAGTTTGGGAGAAGAGCAGGAGGTGATCTGGGCTGCTTTTTCGTCTAGATGCTAGGAGTCAGGGTAGAGGGAGGGAGTGTTTCGGACCAGAACAGAAGTGGTAGACCACACAGGGGTGGGGGGCCAGAGCTGCAGCCAGTCATTCATTAGTGAGATAGCCTGCCTTCGTCTGGTGTGTGGACTTACTGGCACTGGAAGTGGCCACAGGAGGTGAATGACTGAAGAACTGATTATTTGGGATTCTGGTTGTCTCTCAGAAGAGAGGAGGAAGTACCTAACATATTCTTAAGAAAGTCAGAGAACCCTCAAGAGCTTGGACACTTGACCAAAGTTACAAAGTAACATTTAAAATAAGTTAGCTGGGTAAATAAGCTTAAAATTCAGTATTCTTCATGTTAATATTCTAAGAAGGTTCTGTCATATTGGATCTGGTAGCTTACTGCTTCAAGTATGGTTAGACACATCTCCTTTAATATTTTATAATGTTTATTAATGATTGGTATAAAGTGTAAAAAGCTCTCACTCTCTCATCTTTTCCATTGGCAAGAGTGACACAGAATTTTAGTTGTAATTCAGAGTTGGAAGAATTTTGAGAGCCTGTTGAGCACAAAAGGAAAATTTCACAAAGTTAACATATGTGTGTAACCAGTACAGGAGAAGCCCTGCCTTGCTCTTTCTCATCCCAGCACTACCCCAGTTGTCTTCCCCTCACCGTCCCCCACCCCCAAACATGAGCTGGTCTTTTTACTTAATGGACTAGTTTTGTTTTGAATTTCATATACATGGACTCATACAGTATGGATGCTGTTTTTGTCTTTTTTTGGCTTTACATTATGTTTGCAAGATTCCTCTGTGTTCTTACATATAGTTGTAGTTCATTTCGTTCTGGTGCTCTCTAATGCTGTGAATATTCCACAGTTTATCCTTTTCCTATTGATGGACATCTGCATTATTTTTCCCACCTCTTGATTTTCATTCGTTCTTTAACGTAGTTCAGTGTTTATTCTTTCTTCTGTTTTATTTCTAACTTCAAAAGAATACTGCCTCACAGGATTGTAGTAAAGATTAAATAATGATTTGGAAAACACTAGGCATAGAGAAGGCATTTAACAAATATTTGTTCCTTTCCCTTTACATAAGACAGCTTCAGACATTGAAAGCCTACTTGGATGGTTCACCTAAAATCTTCTCTAGATCTTCAGCTGTTTCTCACTTGGCCTAACTTTCAGACATTCTCACCATCCTGGTTATTTTTTGCTAGGCTTATTTCAGTTATTAGTGTGTTTCCTACACTTGAAGTGAATGCTAGACTCCAAACATTGTTGAGTCAGTGTATATACCATTGCTTTTTTTTAAATCCTCACACTGTCCTTCTACCAACATTGCTCAAGGTTGCATACACTTTTAGCAGCCATTTCAACTCAATGTCTCTTTTATACATATAGTTAACGAAAATCTGAGTTCCTTTTTTGTAAGTATTGCTCTTCTGTCAGTCGTTTCCCAGCTTCCTACGTAATTAAGTCATTTAAACCTAAGTGTAGGAATTACAACTTGTCATACGTTTCTGGATTTTTGGTCTATAATCTGCAAGCTTTTTCATACGTAAATCAGATACTGAACCTTCTGGGCTTTTATCTGAGCCTGTGATAATGTGTAAAACAGAACTGGTGTAAGTAAACTAGGTAAGGCAGTCAGGGTCATGGTAGAAATTTTAATTATCATGGACTTTAATTCTCTCATAACAATATTGACTTTCCATTTGATCATTCACTGGGATGGATGTGACTTATTTTTAGTAACTACTGTTTATTGGACATTTACCATGTACTAGGCCTTTTACCTGTATCTTATTTTCACATCAACCCTGCAAAATTTGTTAGTTTGTACAAAGTGAGACTAAGAAGGAGTTAAATCATTTGCCCAAAATTTTATAGTTATGAAGTGAGCGAGGACTTACAAAAGCTTCTTTCCACTAGGCCATACACCATCTGGTCTAAGCAAAATGTGGTTCTAGCTCTTTACCACTACTAGATCGTCTGCCCTTAGCAGTATGTCCCTTCCGTCTTACTGATTCCGATGGGTATTTTGAAGAATAGATAAAGTTTTTACTATTCTTAGCAGGGTGGCCTTTTCCTCTCTCCCCAGTAGCTTCACCCATTTTCTCCCCTAACCTTTCCAGGACTTTCAAGGAGGTGCTTGCTTTGGTGGTTGTCATTGTTTTCAGATGTTTTAAGCCAGTTAGAAAGTTCCCAGTGTAGCTGCACAGTAGTAGTAAAACAGATATGAGCCTCAGAGCTGTAATGTTTTAGCTCTTTTGCTTTTAAAAGAACATAGGAGCTAAAAAGGTCTGAAACTTTGAGAAAGTGTCAGTCACTCACAGGCAGTTTTCTGTGACTTAGTCTGTGCTGTCAATCTGTTATGACACTGATGTTTCAAAGAAATAGTAGTTATTTAGTAGAGGGTATTTTTTTGTTTAAAATAATAATTATGTCATTAAAATAGCTATTTTAATAATAACTGACTTTTAGTTGGTTAAGTTTAAAATGTTATTAAATAATAAAGCAGTGTCTGAATAATTTTTCCCAAATACTCATTTGTGATGGTAAGGTGATTGTTCACTTTCCCTATTCTCATTTTTTAATAGATGTTGGTAATTCTGGTGGATTTTGAAAAAAGAAGTGTTAAAGATCTAAAAAACCAACTCATAGGGTTTTAATTAATTGCAGCCAAAGTCTCCTGGTTGTCTGTAGGAGACTCCTGTTTCAGCTTTTTACAGTGGCATCTTGTGCCTCTGTTTGTTGGAGCCACCTGCCACTAGGTGGTGCTTTTTGCATTCTTCATAGCATAAAACAACTTGTTATTCCACTGGTGATTGTTGGATATATTGGTTGTAGTATTTAGCAAATTAAAAATTTTATTGACAAAGTATAATGTGAGAAATCAGAGCTAATATTTGTCTTCTCACTGAGGGAGACTGATAACCGTTCAAAGAAGGAAGAGTTCATCACTGGGTTTGTTAGCACCCACTGAGCTTTAGTATGTCCCCTTGCTTCCCTCTCAGCCTTAGACTGCGATGACGAATCGCTGCTGACAGCTGCTCGTAGTTAGTTTCCCAGATTATTTGAGGTCCTCCGTACACAGGACCTCTGGGCTTGCACTTCTCAGTTCTGAGCACTGCGTCCCTCATTGGGTGCTTACTTCAGTGCTTTATCTGAAATTGTCTTCTCGAGTCTCTAAGGTCCCAAGAAAAAATGACTTTAATCACAAGGTTTTCTTTCTTTACCCCTGTAGGTTATAATAAAAGAAATTAAAATGTGTGGTTTGACGTTTCCTTTCTTAGGGTGTTTTTCCCCTTTCCTGTCTCTTATTTCCGGTGCCTTTAGCACCGTGTCTAGCCTGCTCACTTTAAGCTCTACGCTGTATTTAGTAAGAAATCTGCATTTTGCGGTTTCTTCACTTTTATTCTAGGGGCTTTTTAGCATAATCTCAGTTTGGTTCCATTGTTTAAGGAGAGGTAAACTTATTTTCAGTCATTTAATCTGCACGCTGTTCATAAACTAAATTCTTTGATGTTTTCAAAACAAACAGTACAGTTCCTTCCCCTGCAGTGGTGAAGTGCTTCAAAAGCCATGTATTTTAATACTTTCTCTAACCAGTTCACATCATCCAGAAATCCAAAATACTCTTAGGATCCAAGAGACTAGCCAGGTATATTTTCATGAGCAATAAGGTAGCCTTGCTTAATTATTGACTGGCTCTAAGTTGATTGGGGACCATTACACTTGGCTAAGAACTATATAGGTTTGTCCTTAGGGTTCCCTAGGGAATCTTAGTCCCTATTCTACCATAAATCAAAAATAGTGTCTATCTCTTTGGAAAAGTTACTTATCTGACAGAGGCTGCAGCTTCAGAAGAGATATGCATTGAGCCATTTGAGGAAGGTTGGGGCATTCACCTTGACAGTCATGATCAGCCTTTCCATCATGGGAGTTAACTTTATAGTTTCAGGACATTGAGAAGGCTGATGGGAGTTTGAATTATTTTCCCAGGTGATTAAAATTGCAGTTGGATATTTAGAATTGGTTTAATTTCATTATAAAAATGAATCAGTATTAAAGATTGACATTTACCTTTTCAAATTAGGTAATAAAATAGACTTGGAGAAGGAGAGACATGTTTCCACTCAAGAAGCAGAATCGTAAGTGTTATCCCTTCGCCTCTTCTTCCCCCAGTCACTCCCTGTGAGAAATCGTCATCTTTGCACAGTATTCTTTACCATTTAGGTGTAACTCAAACCTCTTAATATAGATTGAGCTATTGGATTCAATGAAGCATGGTTACATTGGTAATTTCTGGACTTTTGGTGATATTTAAAGATACTCGATTCTCACTTCTCTTTCTGGTTTCAGTAAAAAATATAAGAGTGATGCAGAAGAAAACTATCATGGCCAAATGGTCAGTGAGTCACAAAAACTAAAGTATTTGGGTTCCAAATTAACTTATAAAAATTTCAAGTCTTAATATACTTATGTTTTTATTTAAAAGTTGGTTCAATATAGAGAGATTAAGTGGTTATATGATCTTAATTTCGCTAAACATAGGTGAATGAATAATAATAAACTAAAATTGCTACTGTAAAAAAAATTTAAATAGGCCAAAAACATGAAACTTTTTTTTTACATCAATCCCTGATTTCTTTTTCTTTTTTTTTTTTTTAAGGTATGCAGAATCTGTGGGAGCAAAACATTACCATACTTCAGCCAAACAGAACAAAGGAATTGAGGAACTCTTTCTTGACCTTTGTAAAAGTAGGTATATTTAGATTTAGTATGTTTAGATACGGCTCTTTTAAAAATACCCTATTTCCAAAGTGATGCTTTACAGTGTCCGTTTCTGACTGCATTGATAATTTGTCACGTCTACTAGTGTTACTATTTACTTAATATTTTAAACTAACTTTTTGAAGCGTAAATACTTACTTTTCCCCTATTTCAAGCAGTAATCAATGGTATGAAATCGTGTAGTATGTACTAAGTATTAAAATAAATGTGTTACTATTAAAAGTAAAAATGGAAGGGGAATATATGGAGTAAAACAGATTTAAGAGGTGTAGCAGTCTGTTGCAGTGGAGGAACCTCATTTGGATCCTACCTAATTTGACAAATGAGTGAAAAAAACATTTGTGAAACAGTTGGGGCTATATGAACACTCACTGGATATTTGATTATATTAAGAAATTATTGTGGGGCAGGAGGGCATAGCTCAGCGGTAGAGTGCACACTTAGCATGCACGAGGTCCTGGGTTCAATCCCCAGTATCTCCATTAAATAAATAAATAAAAATACCGAAAACCTAATTACCACTCCCCACAAAAGAAATTATTGTAAATTTCTTAAGGTGTGCGTGTGGTGTTTTGGTTATGCTTAAAAAAGAGTTCTTACTTATTAAAAAAGTTTTTATCTTTTAGAATTTGTATTAAAATAATCTGTGAATGAAATTATGTGTCTGAAATTTGATTTAAAATAACAGTAGAGATGACTGCCAAGTATGGATGAAATTGTATGATAGACATACAGATTTTCATTATGCTATTCTTTCTACTTTTATATATGTTTGAAATTTTCCATATTAAAAAATTTAAGAACAGCGAAAGGAAAATGTTGTATGCAACCTGAAAGTCATTTCTCATATCACCAATAGGATGCATACCATACTTAAGAAAATTCTAGTTTACAGAATAATGGATTGGAATGATTGTATCAAATGATACATAATCCTTGAAGTTACAGACCTGACTCTTTTGAGAGGTTGATGAAATGATGGTTTTTCTCTCTAGAAAAATGTACATACACACAAATTTTGGAGTAAATTTCAGTTTTATGTAGAGCTGAAGGTTATTCATAATCCTTCTGGAGCAATGATTCTCCAAGCACAGCCCTTGAGCAGCCGCATTAACATCCTTGGATGTGTTAGAGATGCATATTCTTGGGCCCTACCCCAAACCTCCTGAGTCAGAGTCTCCGGAGGTGGTGTCCAGAATCCCTCTTTATGATTCTGATGATACTAAAATTTGAGCACCACTGCGCTACGTACCAGTCACTTGGAGATTTTGTTAAAATGCATTTTTTTGATAAAGTGCGTCTGATGTAGGCCTGGGCTTGTCTTTTCTAACAGGCACCCAAGTGTTGATGATACTGGTCCTCAGACCATACTTTGAGTACCAGGGTTCTAGATCAGTGGCTTATAAATGTTATACATCTCACATCTTTATATTAAAAAAATAGAGAATTCTCCATATGTTTATTTTGAAATTAAAGATCATGTACAAGTACTTATATTTTTGCATATTGTAAAACACACATAAAAATAGAAATTTTGAGAGGTTGAGGAAAAATAAACAGAAATTAGAATTTGTACTTCTTAAAAAATTTCCTCTCAGTGGATTGTCCCGTATAACCTCAATTTGGAAACCATTGTTCAAGGCAGTCTCTGGACTCCAGTTTAAGAATCCTTGTTCTGTTTTAAGGACTTTTTTCTTTCCTCATCTTTTCAAATATGTATTTTGCAGCTATTTACTCCAAATTTGTGTCTTGTATTTTCATTTTTCTTAACTGTCTCTCAAAGAGCAGAAGTTCTAAATTTTAATAAAGTTCAGTTTATCAGTTTTTCTTTGAGTCGTGTTATGTCTTATATGAGAAATCTTTGTTAACTCAAAGTTACAAAGATTTTCTTCTACTGAAGTTTCTGTGTTTTCTTCTAGAAGTTATGTTTTTTATTTAAGTCTATAATTTTTTGTTGATTTTTACATATGGTGGGAGGTATAGATTGAATTTTTGTTTTTTACAGGTAAATATCCAATTCTAGTGTTTCTTAACAAGATTATTCTTTTTTCATTGAATAAATTTGGGACATATACCAAAAATTAGTGACCATATTTATAGGGGTCTATTTCTGGACCCTGTTCCATTGATCTCTGTGTATCTTCTTTCATCAGTGTCTCACTGTCATCATCAGAGCAACTTTCTACTGTGTCTTTGTTCTTTCTCTTCCATTTTAAACTCTTTCTTTCAAATATTATTTGCCTAAAAGTATTACTAGTTGAATAAATTTTCTATCCTAAATATTGCTTATACTTGGAACGACTTGAACTTCTTTGACATATTTGTAAGTACATTTGGAAAATCTTAAGGATGCTACTTGTATACAGTCATTTATTCAAATCAAAACTTGTTTTCTCTATTAATGTCACTGTGGCTGTTATACAACTGGACAAATACACTTGCTGTTAATTTTATTTAGATTCCTTGTTGGTTGAAAGTCAGAAATGGCTATCATGGTGGTATACTGAAGTCATAGAAAGAGAAAATTCCAGTTGTGACCCTAAGTAATTTCTGCTTTCTCCCTCTCTTAGGGATGATAGAAACAGCACAGGTGGATGAGAGGGCAAAAGGCAATGGCTCCAGTCAACCAGGAGCTGCAAGGCGAGGTGTACAGATCATTGATGACGAACCTCAAGCCCAGAGCGGTGGCGGAGGGTGCTGCTCTTCCGGATAACTGTTCACCCCTAAGAAATTAAAAAAAACAAACTGTGGATCATTGCTCTCAACATGAAGACTGCCATATTCCAAGTCACATTATTTTACCAATGGAATTATAGAATTAACAGTATTTTAAATTACGTTTATAACACTGCAGAGACCTTAAGTGCTAAACTTAGTGGAGTTTGTGACCAGAGAATTGGCATTTTCTACAAATGTTAACAAAGCAATTACCAATGGCCTTTTTACATATTTTTTTCTTTAATAAGGAATAATATGCATGTAGAAAAGACCTACTTAAAGGCTTCATTTATATTCTTTTAAATCAAATCTTTATTTAATAACTTATATATGTTGTTGGAATGGTATACATTTTTGCAGTCCTTTGTATTTTGTGGTAGTTTGAATTGTATCACTTCTAAACAGCAAACTGTTTTTGTTTTCATTTTTTTAAATTAGCAGATACCTGAAGTACTATTTTTGCAGGGTTTGCACAAGCCCCTAACTGTCTACTACTTTGATATAATCTATATACATCCTGTATGCTGAGCTGGTAAAATACATTGTAAATTACATATTAAATATTTTATCTGCTTTTACAAGCGCAAGGTGCAAAAATATATACAGTAGTCTTATGACTGTAAAGTGAATTAACATTTGGTGATAATGCCTAAGCTTTTTGACTCTGATATAAGGATCATAGCTCCCCTTCACTTTTGTCTTAACTTGAGAGTGGCGTGTTTAAATTTTCTCACTTACTTTACTTGAATTATCGCTGTTGTCACATTTTTTTTTGCCTCTGTAAATCCATCTGATGGTTGAACAACAGCATTTGCCTTTTGGTTTGGGGTTTCTGTTTGTTTTTTGTTCCTTTGGGTTTTTTGTTTTGTTTTGTTTTTTGGGGTTTTTTTTGGATAAAAGAGGTGACTTCTGCCGATTTTGCTTTAGAATGGTTACCTTAGAAGTATTTGAGTGGAGAATGCCGAGTTTCACTTCTGCAATGGCTTTAGTTTTCTCTTATGTTTTAATGTGAGATGGAGTCACTGGTGTGAGAAGAGAGGAAGAAGTCTCGGATAGTAGCCACTCAGCCAGACTCATTTGTACGGCATGTTAGTGAGTCTCCGCTCCTGAGGCAGCACTTTTAGGTCCTCTGTGAGCAAGTGTTATTTGTTCGTTGCTTGCCAGAGATGAACACAGAAAGTTTTGTTTCATTTTATAAGAGCTATCCTTCTGAGTTTCTTTGAAGGGAAACAGTTCAAGTAATGCAGTTATAGCGAACACTGGAAAGATTTATTATAAAATTATATTCTTGTATACTTTGTAAATTAGTCTCTCAGTAGGTTTTTTTTTCCCTTAAGTGTAGGACTGAACTTAAATTTGTTAATTTTAATAGAATCAGGCACTGCTCACAGAAGGAACACAAATTGTGGAAATTAACATAAATTGTTCTTGTTCTAATATATATATTTTTCCATTTCTGTCATGCTTGGAAAACTAGTAAATGTTACGTCTAAGATAAAATGGAATGGTCCCTGGATTTACTTCTTTTAAGAAGCAGTAGTATGCAATAAAGTTGTTAGCATGAGCAATTAAGAGGATTAAAGAGGTTATAGTTACTGAACAGGTAACTTTCGCAGATGGGTTAAAGTTGAACAGATTGAAACCTTGATGTTAAGATATTAGAATTTTAACTTAGTATTAAGCATTCTGTAAGTCCTCATTTTACCTTTAATTATTGTCCTTGCCAGACTGAACACACCACCTTTCTGTCGTCTGTGTTTGGGGGGGGATGGGATGGGAAGAGTTGGCAGGAAGATAAGATAAAATTGTCTTCTTTTATGGGATGACTGTGTAGTCTCTTGGTTTCCTGTGAAGTTACTATCTATGCAGTGGCTGGAAAGAGGCAGGGGAAATCATGAACGCAGATCCAGGAAAAATTGGTTTTGCCCTCCTGGTTCTTTTAGTGGAGTAAAGAAGCCTTGCCATTTCTACTGTTGTAGATGGACATGGGAAATAAGCTCTTCTCCACTGGAGTGAAGTATGTTTTTAAAAATAATTAGAGATGAAATTGAGCTTTATTCCAAAACATAAAGTCATAAAGCCTGATAATTAGAGAGTTGTACCCTCGATTTTTGACCCTATATTGATACAAAGTCCAGCTAGAAGCTTCTGCTCCAGAGTTGCCAGATAATTATGGATGGGGTACAACCACTCTCCATGTTTTTTGGGTTTTTTTTCGCTTTATTCTCCCCTGGTTTCCATGTGTCTTTCTTAACCTCAAGCATTTCATTCTTCTTTTTTTAACTTGTAATTTAAACTAACTCAGTAGCAGCAATAGATACGATGGTATACCTGTCCTTGCCCTGAAGCCCAAAAGGTCTTGAGGTAGGAATAGGGTGAAAGTCTAATGAAAGAGGACCAGTCAGTTGCAGACTGTATACAAGGAAAGATAAAGAGATGATAAACCAAGGCTGAGGAAGTTTCTCCGATAGTTCTTCACCTCTCTAATGCGTACCTTCTGTGTTCCTGTCCTTATAGTTGTGCTGTTAGGAAGAAGACAGTTACCGTCTTGTGTATTATCAGTAGTAGGTGGGTAGAACCAATATATTTTTCAGCTAGTTAAGTGTATACTCTTAGTATATATAATTAAAAATTGGTTTAAGATAGTCATTAAAAAAGTATCTGAATATTAAAAGTATACTTTTCTGTTTCTGTTATGATGATGGGTATTTTGCTTCCTGTTTTGCATTGTGATAATGGAGGAAGATTGTTGTTTTTATAAATGTAGATTGCAACAATTTTGAGGTAAACAGTAATCTGAAAAGAAACAAGCATCACGTTACTGTATGAAACACGAGTGTCCGAATTTGTTTTGTTCTGGGGATATCTCCTGAAAAATATCCTAAAGCTATGGCTGTTACAGCTAAATTGAAATCTTTTAAAAAATATTAGCCATATATTATTAGTGGTTACTTTTTATTTGGCATTAAAAGAAGAGTAATATTTCATTTTCAGATTTTCTGTGAAAAAAAGATAAAATTTGGGGTAGGGAAGATGGTAGTAAACAGTAGAATGGGAGTCAGGTAGATATGAAATTCCACAGCGTGACAATTTTTAAAACCATTTTGAAATCTACACTTTATTCAATAGTTTCTAAATAAGGCAAGCTAAATAAGGCAAGTTATGCATTGTGCCAGCTATTTAGAACGTTAAAAAAATGAATTGTTCTGCTGTTTATTTCTTTTAAAAGATGATTTACGATTTTTTATATTGTAAATGCTACCAGGAATCTAGATCATTATCTGCAGGCGGTGTAACTTAACTTATTTATAATTACCACATACATTATCTCTGGAAGGATTTGATCTGTGCCTTTGACTTTTGAAATTTATCTTTTGACCTCTGTTTGCCATTACAATTTTCAGTTTTCTTTATAAATACAGTGTGATAAAGAGGGAATACTTAATTTGTGACCATTTAAAATGTTGAGATCTTCTAGAAAAGGGTGTAGATAGTAGTGACCTGCAAGAACATTATAATAATTTCTAAAGATAGACTGAGTAGATCCTTAAGTATTGTCTTCTAAGTTGCACAATGCATTACCTAGATTTTAATAATTAAAAACTGGGATTTGTTGAACATATATATTTACTTGATTTCATAATAGGCATTGATTCTAGTAAGTTGCTGTTCTATAATTTTTAATCAACTAAAGCAGAGTAATATATTTGGGGGTGTGGGCCAGAATTCATGCTACACCTACGTCCGACTTTGATGGCTGTTCCCTTTTCAGGAAAAGAAGTTAATCACAATTCTGAGCAAGATTTCCCAAATGTAACTACTTTAGTACTAATCATATGTAATGAAAAAATTTAGAAATACTCTTAAAAGACACTCCAATTTTAAGCAAAAAGTGCTTTGCTTCTAAACAAATACCACTTTAATTTGATAGACTGCTTGTGCTCTTTGGGGTTTATATATCATCTTTTTTCTGAGGAAGCTGAGTGTGCTTTTGAATGTTAACCTTTTTACTGCAACGTTTTTTCCTGCAGTAGATAATGGACATGGCAAGTTTATGTTAAATGGCACACCCAGAAAGAATCTTGTTCTTATAGCATCTTGTCCTTTTCAGAACACTGTACATATTCCCAGCTGCATTACGTTAAAGCCAAAAGATGGACCTGGCTACTTAGATGATCTTCATTCCCACTGTGTCAGTTCTCACTTTGAGTTTGATTCTTCCTGGCAACTGTATCATCTCTTCATTATCAACTGCTCAAGAAAAAGCTAATAGGATTTCCTTGAATTTGAACTTGTGTAGAGCAATGAGAGAAAAGTGAGGGATAGCAGGGGGAAAGTGTGATAATGTTGAAAACCAGACATAAGTGGTATTAGCTAGACTGTACCTTAAGTGGTAGCAAGCTATTTTAAGGTAACTGTACTTAGTACTTCCCTAGAAATTGGAAGGTTCCTCAGTTTTTATTTAATTATCTAAGACTATATTCTAGGAAGAATAAAAAATACAGACACTGTGGAAGTGCCTCTTGGGTACCACTCCTAATTGGTAACAGTTGTTCTATACTGTATACTCTTCAACCTCCTTTTTTCTATGCATTTATATACATACATATTTACCTATAGAAGTACAGTTTTGTGCATTTGAAAGTTTTACATAAATTGTGTCTTACTGTGCATATATTTTGCAGCTTGCTTTTTTTCTTACCAAGTCTAGGAGCGCTCATGTTGATACAGTTTATTTTCTCCCAGATCTCTTCAGGTGTGTTTTGGCTTTTAAAATAACTTCTGACTCTCCATAAAACCCTCCCCAAAGGAATGCGCTCAATTAGGTGGATTTCATTAGAATCAGAATTTAAATGCAAGCCAGTGCTTACCTAAGATAGAACCACGGTCTCTCTTAAGCACGTGCGTCAGGAAATTAGAAAGGCATCTGCCTACAATTCATTTAAGTATTTTACTTTTGGCCTACTGTTGACTGATATATAAAATTCAGTAATTAACTTTAGCAGATTTTTCTTTATTCAGAATAGCTTTTGATTTGAGGGAAAAAGGGAAAAGAGGGAAGATATAGTTGAGAGGGAAAGAGAACAGGGTAAACTAAAGCAAGTCTTAAAATACAACTTTGAGTAGCTACATCACACATGACTTCATGCTCCCAGAACTTAACACTTGTTTGATCTGTGCCTTTAAAACAGAAAAAGGAAAAGCCTAGTGGGTGGGGGTATAGCTCAGTGCATAGAGCACATGCTTAGCACGCACAGGGTCCTGGGTTCAATCCCCAGTACCTCCATTAAAAAATAAAATTTAAGTGGATAAAAGTCCTTTTTCATCTCCTACCACCGTCCCACATCCCTCTTTAGAGGTAATCATTGTTAACAATTTGGTGTGTGTCTATATCTCTTACATATGTTTTAATTTATATTTGATCTTTATAGATTTTGAGTTCCCTGAAAGCAGTTTCTACCTGATGTCATGTTCTGTCCTCAATCAGCTGACCAACTTCCCAAGAAAAACCAGAATCACTTTTTGTTTAAGGAAAGTTAAATCAGTGGTGACAGTTCTTAAACTAGAAGTTAACTACCTGACTCTTAAGATGTTTTATGTTTATTGTAAATTAAGCTTAAAGAGTAACGGTAGCATTCTAGGAAAAGTCAACTTACCGATTTATGTCCCCTGTGAAAACAGGGCTGGGAGAGAGGGTTGAGCAAGTCCAAGGTCCTTAGTACATGTGTAATTCTGGGTTGAGCTCATTCTCTTGGTACGTTTTCCTACGTGGGGAGCGCTGTAATGTCCCCAGCAATTACTTCATGAGTCCTTCTCTGCATTGTCAAGGCTGTAGCTTAGCATGTGAGTGCTGTGACACAAAGGTAAATGTGTGTGCCCTGGCTCAGCAAATTTATTCACATTTGACTTTTAATGAAAATAATTCAGAAAGAAAATTAAGCACAAGTTTACATGATTTTGTTAATTGTTTCCATATGATCTTTAAAATAATTCAGAACGCATTCTGTTCATCATGGCGGTTCTCTCAATTTTACTCATTTATTGAGTTCCCAGAGCGCACAGCAGGGGAACCAGCCTTCCTTTATAGTTAGAGCTCAGAGACGGGGACCTGTTGACCTTTGACCATAGTCTATGATGTAAGTAGTTTATCTGTGGATATGAGGTCAACCAAACACACATGTGCACATTTCTGTATTTGATAAGTACATACCAGTCAAACTTTTGGGGTGTGGTAATTAGAATGACAGTAGTTGAAGTTGATAGTGATTTTGAGGTAAAGCTGGACAGAATGATTCTGAGTCTTGCAAATGATACATTTTCAAGCCAGGTTAAAATAGAATAACTTGTTTTCTAGCTTCAAGTGGCAATTAAATGATCCTCGAATCCAAATTGCTTTCCCAAATTTTGGGGTAGCGTTGAAGAAACAGATGCCTTTTGCTTGTTTACATGGCTGCTTTTTTTTTTTAACCTAGAAAAAATGCATTTTAAAAAGCAGTTGTATTGTTTCTTTGCCTTTGACAGATGTTGCCTTGCTGCCAGATAGTAACCTAGGACACAATCCATTCCTGAGTCATAGACCCATTTAGGGAGTGTGACATAGCATAATACATGTATTTGTAAATGCACTTTCCAGTTTGAGGGTATAGGTCCCCTTTTCCCTATGTGAACTTGAAGACATAGTTCAGTACGAAAGCTTAATGAATACTTGGACTTTTCTGATAATCTTCCCAGTGCCTTTAAAGAATATTTTTGATGTTATAGTATAAAAGGTCAAATTATTTAGGTCCCTTCTTGGCCCTTTTGGGGAGAATATAGATTGAAATCATTGGTTTTTTTTTTTTTTAAAAAACAAATTCCATGAACCAGTTACCAAGAAGTAACTTTTATTCATCTGCATTAACTCATCTGCACAAATTCACAAAAGGTTAATACTTTTAATGATCTAGTGATAGTTCTTCAAAATGTAAAAGCCATGTAAAGGAAAAACTATATAGCAGGAGCAAGATGCCTTGAGGACTTTTGGCTCTCCTGGGTGACAAAATTATTCCTCTTGTCCAAAAACTATACAATATAAGCCTCCCCCCACCATGTTAAATCCTATATCGGTATTTTTAAACCTGAAAATGTTATTTAACTGAAGAAGTGGCATTGCGTAGTTCCTCCCTGTCAAAGATTTTGAGGCCAACAGTAGTGATGCAAGAAATTTATTTATGAAGGACCTAATTTTGGATGGACTGTATTGAAGACTGTCAGGTAGATGGCCTTGCTAATTCACTGAGAACTCACCTTCAGTCTGTTGCCTTGAGGTTGGCATTTGACAGTCCCTGCTCCTCAGCGCTTGGTTCGCTGATTCACCAAAAGTACAGCTGGGCTGCTGCCTCATCCAATCAAAACTTTAAAAAATTAATAACTGAATGTAGAATTACTTACAGAGTAATTGCCAGGTGTAAGCAATTGTCATCTATGGACTGTGGAGCAGAGTTATTCTAAAGTAAGGGGTGAGGGGAATTTCCTTAAATGTAGAACTAGGAGCTAAAGTTCAAGAGAGTGTGGTGTTGACTGAGAGCTTCATTCAATCTGGTAAGTGACTTTTATTTGTCTTTTTCTATAGATAGTGAATGCTAGGAATATGGGTGGGTTTAATTAGAAAAATAAAATTTGGCCAGATTTGTGATTCAGAATATTAAGAACCAAGAGTGAAAAACAGCCATTTTAAAGCATACTATTAAAGGATCATAGTATTTGTAGTAGTGCTAAAAAAAAGAAAAAAGAAAAAAAAAGCAGCTTTAAGGCAAACACTGCTTTAAAGAAGAAGAAAAAAAATCTTGTATTTAATAATAATGAAATTGTTTGAGGATGTCCCTAGCCTAATAATGACTTATGCTGACATTATTTAAAGTCGTTTTAACATCATTAGGGAAGATTGAGATTGGTTCTGTGACCTTTAGTAACTAAGATTAATACCCTTTCAGAGTCAGCCCTCCCCTGGCCCCAAAACACTGTCTTTGTGATCATTAAATTACACAGCTACTTGGCATTCTATGATGAATTCTAAATTCTTCATATGCCACAACTTTTGCTAATGCTATCCTTGAATTTCCTTACCATCTTTGCTCTCTTCTTATTGTTGTTTTTGAAGCTGATTATGGCATCTTTTGGAAACACTCGAACTAGAGAACTTGAGCTGTGCACCACCATTTTTGCCCTAATGCTGAAAACAGTAGAAGTTAATATCCCCAAATTCATGATCTGTGATAGAAAATTTATTTTAATGTATATTAAGTTTTTAGCTTCTTCAGTTTTTCAAGGTGATTCAGCTGTTTTTGTTTTCTGGTTACTTTGCAACTAAAAATTGCACATGCCAGTTACTTATAATTAATTCAAGAAATTTAATGGGACATTCAAAGCAAATCACTACACTTACCATTATTAACTCAGATGAATTTTTATGCTGTTTTAATGTACATACCAAGAAATGCTAAAAGGAAACTTTGCATGTGTCTGATGGGGCACTCCAACTGAGAAAGAGCGAAGGGGCAGAAGAGGCAAAAGGTAAAATAACCTTGAGTCATAATCTCAGGTTGTCACTTAACACTGATTAGCCTTGCAGAAGGACATTTATTTACAGGCATATCTTGTTTTAGTGATCTTTGCTGTATTGCACTTTGCAGGTATTGTTTTGTTTTATTTTACAAATTGAAGGTTTGTGGCAACCCTGTGTCGAGCAAGTCTGTCCATACTATTTTCCCAACAGCATTTGCTCACTTTGTGTCTCTGTGTCACATTTTGGTAATTTTGTGATATTTCAAACTTCTTCATTATTATTCTATTTGTTGTGGTGATCTGTGCTCAGTGATCTTTGATGTTACTATTGGCATTTTTTGGTGTATTTTAAAATTAAGGTATGTACATTGTTTTTTTTTAAACATAACGCTGTTGCCTACTTAATAGACTATCATATGGCGTAAACATAACTTTTATTTACTGGGAAACCAAAAACTTTGTGATTCGCTTTATTGCCATATTTGCTTTATTTTCATGGTCTGGAATGGAGCCTGCCATATCTCTGAGGTATGCCTGTATTTATCCAATTAAGAAATAATTAAAACTAATTGCACTAATTTTATTTGAGTATTGTGGTCAGGATTCATATCCTGGTCTTACGAACACATTGGTTAGACCTCCAAATCTCAGTTATCTGCCTTTAATGGTCTTCGATGGTAATCTTAAAATACTAGCACATTTGAAAATGTATGCCTCATTTTTTGAGAGTTGGGTGTGTGGTATGTACACAGACAATATAAGATCCAAGGGATACAGGTCCAGCATAAGGTACAAGGAAGAATTAGTTATTGAGATAGAGTAAGAGCCACATCATGAGAATTGAAAAGATTGTTAGGGTTAGACTGGGGGATGGTAGTGCCTTACTGTCCTGTGTGGAAAGTCTGCAAATATTTATTCATTTTGCTGGGCAGTTTCAAGAGCTGCTTTTTGTCTCTTCTTCGCTGAATTTTTATCTTATTTCACTATATCACACAATTGTTGCTAGCTTTACTTCACCTTATGAACATTTAATTTAGACGTTTAGAATTTTTTTACCACATTTGAAAATGGTCTGGGGAAGAACCATTTGCTTTATCAAGCGGAACTTCTGGTTTGATGTAGCATTTTTAAGATAGATACATGACTGATTTATCCTTCTGATGTCTAGGTAACTGCTATAGTTTGGAAATATTTTAAAAATATCTCTATAAAGGAGGAAGACTAACTTCCTTACATATAGAATTTAACCTTCTATTTCATCATGTCAATATCTGTGGTTTGGCTCTATTTGATTTTAAGCTTTTACTGAGCATTTCCCCTCTCACATTATACCTAATGTGTGTAGTTTTTACATGAAATCCTACATAGCTTTAGGAAAACTGCTATGGACAATGAATAAATATCATCAAGAATGTTTAAGCAAACCTGAGACTGAAAATTTTAGTTTTTGCCTGAAATTTCATATATAAATTCAAGAAAAATATTTATAAACTTGAAAGACTTACTTTGTTGCAAAATATATATGTGACACTTTAAAAAAATTTACCATTCTATGCAGAGCATTTAACAGGTGCTCTGAAAAATATACAATATGTACTGCTGTAACTCATGTCCTCAAGGAACTTAAAAACCTAGGGGAGGATTATATAGCAGATGTGAGAGAATTTAGAGACATTGAAAATAGAGGAGGAGATGAAATTGGTATTTGTAGAAGATGGTACAAAGCTTAAGAGAGTCAACTGAAAGTACCCTAAAATTAATCTTCACTGAGTATAAATTAGTCAGAGAAATTTAAAAGCTTTCATTTATATAAACAATGGGCAGTTCAAAGATATAATTGAAGAGAGGGCCTCTTTTAAAGTAAGAACAAAGGAGAGAAACTACCTAGGAATAAACAATACGCAAGACCACAAAAAGAAAATTTCACGTTTTTCCCAAAAAGGAAACTCAAGCACATGGAAGGGCATATTGTATTCCCGGGTAGGAAGACTTCACATCATATACGTGCTGGTTCTTTGTAAGTTACTCTATAAATTTAATGCAATCCCAAGAAAAATACCAAGATTTTCTAAAAATAGAAAGCTGATCCCAAGGTTTCTATGGAAAAAGAAGCAAGACTAGCCAGAAAACCTCTGCAAAAGCAATGAGGGCAGACTAGTCTTACAAAATATTAAGATAGAAAGCTCCAGTAATTAAAAGAATTTGGTACTGGCATATGACTGATCATTAGAACAGAAGAGAAAAGGCAAAAATAGACCCACATACGGGAATGTAGCACAGGACAATTTAGCACATACTTCACCTCAGTGGGGAAAATACAGTTTAACTCATTAAAAGGTATTAGGGTACCTGGTAGCTATCTGTAGGGAAAAATAAAGTTGGATTCATACCTCATATACCAAAATAAAATCCAGTTTTAAATTTGAAAACTGGAATGCTTAAAGTACTTGAATAAATCATGGGAGAACCTTGAAAGAGTTTAGTGTGGTGAAGGCTGTTCTAAATATGACATAAAATCCAGAAACAATAAAGATAAATTTTCACTACAAATTTATAGTAATGACAAATTATATACTATATCAAATAAACTCTTCATGGCAAAAAAATCACTAAAAGCAAAGTAAAAAAATGACAAAATTAGAAAAAAAATTGTAAATCTTGTCATGTATCGCTTAATATATAAAGAACTAGAATTCTGTAAGAAAATGTTCAACAGTCCAAAAGGAAAAAGGTCCAAAGCTATACAGTTTTCACAGAAAAGGATACAAATGACTCAAATTGAAAAAAAAAAAAGTTCAACTTCACTAGTAAAAGAAGTACAAAATAGAACTATACATAGATACTAGTTTTTAAAATCCATTTGATCAAGAAAGGTTTTTTAATGTTGTGAAATATTGTTATGTCCTAGATATTATTGGTCAGAATTGGGGAACAAGAAATTTGGCTGGTAGAGATGTCAGCGGGAATAACCACTGAGGACAGTGTGCTGTGTATTCTGGATCTACTCACTCAACCACCGATTTACCTTCCTAGTCTGAGAAGGTGGGAAATACATTTCCCCAATTTTTTTGTACAGCTAGGATTCTAAAAGCTAATGAGATTTTCCCAGTTAAATGCTCTCTGTAAGGTTTGGAAAGAGAAGTGAGGCAAAGGCCATCTTCCTGAGGTTCCTGAATGTTGCAAGCTTGTGGGAAACATGTTTCCATGCAGCAGGGATTAAGTGTCCATCCTCCGACTTCCTGGATATGGAGAAGTAGTGGTGGCGGCAGCAGCTTCTTAATCTGACATTTTAACCCCTGGATTGTGGTATTAGATCTTCCTTCTCCAGTTTCCCAGGAATGAGAGGTTGTAGGGGTGGCCTCTGGCTTCCAGCATGGCTCCACGTGTGACCGGAAAGGTAGTAGCTCCCTTGGTGAACTGGTTCTGTATCATGGTGGGATTCATTCTGAGGGGCTCAGCCTTAGGCTCCTAGACCTGCTCCTTCAGTCCTTCCTTCACTATGTAAGCACCACATTCCCTATAACAAGTGCCTTCCTATCTAAAATCTCTAGAATGGTTTCTGTTTGTTGCACTGAAAACTGATCAGTTGGATAGTAGTAGCCAGAACTGTAAGTGTATTTCTTTTTGACCGAGCATTTTAATTCTAGGAATACATGCTATAGATATACTTGTTTATGAAGGAAATGAGTTTGTACAAGATTTTTTAATGCGTTGTTTGTAAATTGTCATCAGTAGGAGAATTAGAAAATAAATTATAGTACATGTATGTAATAGAATCCTAGGTAGCTGTAAAAAAGAATGAGAAAGCTTTGTGCATTGAAAAGAAATAATCAACAAGGTATATTATTACTTGGGGGAAAAAAAGCCAGGAGGTATACTATTTAAAAACAATTAATTAGCCTTGTTGAAGTATAATAGATATGAAGTAAATATATTTAAAGTTTGCAATTTGACAAGTTTGACCCACAAAACCATCATCACAAAGATAATGAACATATCCATCGCCAACCCACAAAGATTTTTTGTAATCCTTTCCCCCACACCCCTGCTTTCATTTACAGTAGGTTAGTTTGAATTTTCTAGAATTTTATATAAATGGAATCATACAGTGTGTATACTTTTGAATCTGGCTTCTTTCAACTCTGCATAATTGTGACTCATCTATGTTGTGTTTATTCCTTTTTTTTGTTAATATCCCTTTGTATGCACATCCAGCATATAACTTTCTGTTTATTCA